ACCATCATTATCTTTTATGGATTTTTTTCTTTGTCGTACACGCGGAGACCTTGATATGTGTTGATTAACATCGTGATTACATTGAATGGACTTCTTTGGTTTTCGTACAGGTGGCGACATAGATGCCACTCTTTTCAGATCATCAGCAATTTTAATGTACTTCTTCTGATACAGTTCACGTGGGGACAGAGATGCCATTCTTTTGATATCATCGTTATCTTGAATACGTTTTCGTCTCTGTCGTTCACGTGGATACCTGGATGTTTGTATTTTCGTTTCATCTTGATAAGTCTCATTCTTTTGATTTGCTGACGCAGGGACTTGTCTGAGTAAATTAACTGCATCCTTTTCAGTGTGATTTCTTATTTCACCTTCATTTGAAGTAATCGACTCTTCTGTATTGATGTCATCGGCGTGCTGGAAAGAATTACTCGATGGCTTCCCCTCATCGCTGTCGCCGATTGGTATTAGCCTGTCTGTGTCATCAGCGTAATGCATTGACCGTGAAATTGTTGACGTGGTAGCATTTATACTCATATTCACGAAACCTTGGACCAAATTCAGCTGTGCCAATGATGTTTGTAGCACTTCCTCTTCGTTATTCGTGCTGTTAATATGACAACTTTCGTCTTCGATTTCCTCTTGGCGTTCCAAAGAAATATTTATGCTGGAAGATGATGATTTTCGACACGGCCGATCATCTGACCCCGATGATTTTCTCGTTTTCTTTTTCTTTCGAATTGTCTTCTTCTGTGCTTTGCAACCAGTATGTTCACATACTACTAATGATTTTTTTCTACAATCATCATTGATTTTGTTGCTACAATTATCCTGATAGATTACAGGTTCGTGAGTTTCATTTTCCCCGTTTTTTACAAGGGATTTCCTTCTTTGGTGCACGTGAGGAGATTCAGACTTTGTTCCGGAATATTTCTCTTTTATCAAGGACTTCCGTCTGCTACGTCCCCCATCCTCCATGACGTGTGTTCGGGGTTGTTGATTTACCGTTGTTTGTGTCACAATTTCTTCAATCGCCATTGATGACCTATAGTCAGCTGATATTTTGATATCTTGTCGAGATATTTGTAAAATTGCACTATCGCTTCCATTTTCATCTCCTTGTTTTTTGCAGCTAAATGTGTGAAAGTTTACTTCGTGGTTGTGGGTGCTTATGTCGTATTTCTTTTTCTGAATAAAATCTTGTTTCTCCTCATCACCAGATGTAATGGAAGTTCTCCTTTTGTCATATGTCTTGGATTCTACCAAACACTTTTCTTTTCCATCGGTACCTTCCGACTTGTCATCCATTGGGAAGTACTCTAACACTGGAACACGTATTGAATAAAATGACGGTATGGTGATTTCACTAAGTAAACAATCTGTTTTTGCCACACCAGCAAAAAGTCTTTGAATTAATGTCCAGAGTAATTCAGTTCTTTGGGCTTAAGATTAAGTTATGGTAGTCACTTTAGTAGTTTCATATTGTTGACCTGACTAGTGTTACAGTCATTATCCAGCGCTTCTTCTGGAAAATACAAAACAAAGACAATGTTCTGTAATAACAGTCTGGAGGTTATTGCAGCCAGCTTAGCTTATTCATCCGGACACATGAAACAATACCAGTAGCGTAACTCTCAACATCGCTCAAAATGAATTACAGATAAATTCTTTAAAATTTCCATTCGTATTCAAAGAATGTTTCATTGATTTTGTCTTTTTATTCTTTCACATTTTAAACCGCACCGAGTACGATATATACCGGCAAACAGAAAAATTGTACACTTTATTAGGCCACAATATATAGGAATGAAGTAATGATCTCCGGAATAGTTTATATATGTGTATCTCTTAAATAATACTCCGTCAACTGAGGAGTCATTCAAACGCACAGAAAGTGAATCCCTTTTATGCCAATCCTTTTGATTCTGCACGGGTTAAAATCAATCGCTTTATAGATTGGTTGTGTATATTTTGTTTTCAGTTCAGTGATATTTTGTCAAAGAAATATTTCGGATTTAACAGTAACAAGAGATCCCATAGAAATCTTGTCGCCCACCATTGTTTGATCTTTATTTGTTGGATCTTTTCCCCTCTTTTCTTCTATGTTTTTGCTGTTAATGATAAGAATTTTGAACATTCGTTTGCAGAAATAGCGATAACAATCTTTACCTGCCAAATGCCAAATGGTCGCCTGGAAGCCATTTTGGTTTTTCTGATCAGTCCTAAAATCAAATGGGCACAACTATGGACCAAGGGCAACCTACAAGCCTTCCAAGAAATAGCGATAGCAAACTTGCAAAGTCCAAATCCAAGATGGCCATCTGTCAGCCATTTTGTCTTTCTGGTCAGTCCCAAAATCAAAACGGCACAACTGGGGATCCAGTTGGATCTTACATGGAGCGTACATATGAAATTTGAGAAAGATTCATTCAGTACTTTTCAGGAAAAAGCGATAACAAAAATTGTTTACAGGCGGACCACAGACGTAGAGCAATTTGAATAACCTACCATCTGATGGTGGTTGATATTAAATCCGGAATATTTCTCTGATAAAATCTTTCTGAATCGAAAACAAAATATACACCACTAATCTATAAAGCAATTTATTTTAATCAGTGCAATATACAAACGGTTGAACCATGAGTACATACGTTCATTTGACGAATAATTCTCTTCATTACGAACCTCGCCAAAAAGCATCTTTTGATTCAAATACTGAGCATTCGAGACTGACGCAATCGACAGACGATGAAAGAAAAACTAAAATCTTAAATACACTCGGCTCCGTAATGATGCATTTCAACACTTTAATTACATAAGGTTTATGCTAAATTCAAGACAATCAGATTATGTCCAAATCCTTACAAATTCATTGATCGCCGATGCGCTGTTTTCTTTTATTTCTATTTTTTTTAACAAAAAATATTATACATGTTTAAAAAAAAAAGAAACATTAAAATATGAATGTTTCAGGCATAACCTGTTTTCTTACCTGGCTAGAGAAACAAATTTTGTAGCATCCTTTGGTCCTTCGTCTTGACAACCGGTGCTTGTTGACAACGTCTGCCGCCACTGACAGAGAACCAGCGAATGTCGAGTTTATAACGCTTTGTCGCGTTGACGGCAAAATCATGCGCACTTGACTCTGCATCATGAAGCGCTAATCAGTTTTCACAACCTTTTACGTAAGTTATTTTTCGATCCTCACTGACTAAGTGAAATGGTATACTAACGTATATAATACCTTTTTCAGTTCTGTTACTGTGAAGCTTTCCGCTGTTAAATAAAGTGACGTCATTGTGTTCGTGTTATAAAGAATGGATTCAATTTTTTTAACTTAACCCAATATTCATTTGTAATACCCAAAGACTTCAAATTAATGTCGGAGTTTACTTTTGTCATGTTACAGCAGTGTTCTTTGGAAAACATTGAAATATCTAAGATTTTTATTTTATATCCGTGAATCACGTCCGGCGCACCTCTCTCTCGACTTTGATTTTGATTTTCCATCAACTTACCGTGTTTTAAATTGTCCAGCTTATTAACGACGTTATAGTGTTTCAGAAAAGTATGGAGGGAAAATTTCAGCATCCGGTCAATTGTTCTCTCTTTTTCCACAAGCACAAGCATTGCACGTCCTATCTTTGAAATTAAAAAAATAGTAATTATCTTATATATTTTTTACTTGTGTCGTTTATTGACATGGTTGGGCACAGGTATATCAGGTCAGTGATATTGCAACATGTTGGTCAAATGTGATGTTAACACGTTTCTATCTCCAAAACATTCAAGCGTTTCGTCACTCATTCAAGCGTTTGAGAGATGTAATTTCGAGATTTGCAAAATAGGTTCCGAAAAAAAAATATCCGGATCAGTCGATATTTTATATTTCAAATGATGATTTTCCGTTTTCAATACATATTTTTGAGTCGGTGCAATTATTCTGGGTCAGGCGGATCACGAAAAATCGGCTCTATTTATTTTTACCCTACATTCCATCATATTTACAGACACTCGTTCTGATATCCCAAAGTTACTTTCCTTCGTGGAGGCCGATATTGCAGAAATTTTATACATTATGCCTGACTGTCTGTCCACATTTCCGTTTGTCCACAAGTCTGTCCGCTAACCTGCCTTCATAGTTGCTCACTCTGCTGTACATTCTTAGTTATAATACTTAGCGGTTACACAACGGATCACATCAGTTATAATTAGCCAGCGCCGTATTCAAATAGACTATAAAAAATCCAATTGTGTCCCATGTTATTTGATATCACAAATAAAATTTTTGGAGAAAATAAATTTTCGAAGTTGATTTTCATCTGAAATTGACATTTCGCGGCACACCGCTGGCAATAAAATATGTTATATTACATAGAATCTTACTTCCTTATATATAATTGACCTTACAACCTGTTTGGAACATGGGGTCACTGCTTGTGATGTTGCAGAGAGATAAGGCACATAAAAGAGGCCAGGAAACTTTTTTCTAAATATAATACTGCTGACTCCGGGTCACGTGCTAAAATTCAAAAAGTGATAACTTTGGTGTTCTTACCTTGGGCTACACGTACCATGTTTTAAACGTTTACATATCAAACTCAGTATCTTAAATGTTGAAATGTTTCAATGTGTATTGTTAAAAATAGCGACTTTGAGACTTGTAAAATTTAAATGTAAAAACCAATAAATTTTATTGTCCTGATGACTAAGATGCAGATATGCTGAATTCTACTTGGATATACGATTTTTGAAATAGATATTTATTTCAATTTCAAATCAACATTATGAATCATAACTCTTTATCCTCCATCCCATCCCAACATCCACATACACAAGTTCACAAGTTTCAGGAAGACTTTAATCATAATGCATAATCTCTATGTGTGTCACAGAAATTGTTGTTACGTCATAAAACGGCTTGCCTAGTACTGTGTCTGCACATTATTTATACTTACCAAAAAAGTGGAACAGGACAAGACAACAAAAAACTGTAAACATGAGGGATCAGATTTTTATTGCAAAATATAAAATAATCGTTAGTAAAGATCAATATTAACACGCAAAATTAATTTCGAAGGAAGAAGTCGCATGTGGAAATAACATACATTAGTTTGATTTCACGAATTGTCAAGTGCATTTCAAACAATTCGCACTGAAAATGCCTTGACGAGACACGTGAAGTTACACATATATAGACACATGTGTTGACATATAACGTATATATATATAGAGGCGCGTGTTCTGGCATGTAGAGGCAGGTGAACTGCTACGTACATACAGTTCAAGACCCATGTGTTTACACGTACAGACGTGTGTTGACAGGTGAAGTCACGTGCACTGACAAGGGGAGACACGTGAATCGACACGTGTATCCATACGAGTGTTGACATGTAGATACATGTTTTGACACATAAAGTCATGTGACTGATATATATATTTGTACAAGCAGATGAATTGACATGAAGAGATGGATAAGGTATTTCTGTCCGTCGTTTTCTTTGCATGCACCTGAACGTTCTGTATAGTATTACAAATGGAAGACGCGTGCATTAATCAAACATTGAATGCAAATTATTGTTACACACAGAAGCAACAATTGAACTCACAGTGTGAAAACGTGTACATAAATTTAAAGAGGTATATATACATGAAAGCAAAACCCATGTTTAAAAATAGTAACACTTTCACTCGTAAATGAATGTGTAATTTGAAGCGCTTGTATCAAGTATACCGAATGTGTACCATCTTTAATTATCATAACAGCAAAGACAATTTGTAAAATAAGTAATAAAAGTAGCAACAAACGAGTTAAAAAATTCTTGTTTGTTGTAAAATCGTTTACACATTTTGAATTTTAAACAAGGTGATTAATGTCACAAAACTATTTACAAAAATGCATAAAGCACAACAAAGTTTATTGCAGACATTCAAAAGTGTATTCAACAGAAAAAATACTCCGCGTTAGGTCTACATGTATGTTTACCTGTAAATCGAGTGAGAGTCCACACAATATTTGAATAGAAATGTACATGGATAGAAAGAAAATTGCATATACGACGAAAGTGTAAACGCTATCTTGATTTACAGGTAATTAATGTTGTAAGCTTGAAAGGCGGTTTATCAAGATTTCGGCTTCTGATCTATTTAAAAGCAAACGGTAATAAAATATAAATTGTACAGCCATCCAAACGTAAAAAGGAAACTCGTGTCATAAATTCCATTAGATTTAAATTCCATTTTAAGATATTTTTGTCGATTGACATGGTTTGATTGACGTCATATTTACGCGCACTTCCGGTTCCGCTAGATTATATTTAAATTTAGTACACTGTGATAAACATAACGAAAATGGATAATACGGAGAAAGACAGCTATCTGGCACAAACATACACAGGTAAAATCATCAGTAACTTGGAATGGGCAGTCAATGAAAAATTCACATAACCAATCATAGATCGTATGGTCGTTTGTTAATGTGGGCAAATAAAGAAAGAAAATGCCGTGTTGAAATGGACATCAAGAATTACAAGGGTCGATCAAAATAAAGGATGTAATTAGAGCGAATAGTCCTTCGCATCCATATACCATGAAACATACGAATAGAAAAAAAAATTGGGACAAGGCAGGGGACTGATCGAGATAATTATGTGGCAAAAATATGGAGATGGAAAACGAACAAACACTATTATGACGATAAAAATATTTCTCCCGTAATATATTTTATCAAAAAATGTTTTTATTTCATCAACTCCTTCTTACCATTTAAATTCCAAAGTTTAATGATGTAATGAAAGAGTGTTTTATGATGAATCTCATTCGAACCGGCGACATCGAAGGACTTGTTTTCGGAAGTCTTCGGCCCGAATTGAAGACGAGACGAGACGATACGTTTCAAATAATTTCTGTAAATATGTCATGGACAGAAATAAGAAAAGTTCTCAATCAAAAGTGGACAAAACTGAAAATAAAATCGCATAACACAGATATATAACAGGAAAGTTATTAATTGAACACTTTGAGCAGGTGTAAAACAGTTATCTTGGTTCCTTGTTTAATAACAAAAGCTGTTTTCTCTGTAACAGCTAATATTTATCGCTTCTGGTAGGACTCGCTTTATCTAACTAATTATCTTAATACCCAGTTATCTTAATTAACGCAAGTATCAAGTTATAAGACAAATTCAACGAGTATTCATTTAGACGTTGGAAGCGATTTCTAATTTAATCTTATTTAAATATACAAATATATTATTCGATGTGTCTAATAATTCTTGACTTTACATGTAAGCAATTTACAAGCATAAGTGTAGAATCACTCTCTAGAGTACCAATTTTAAGCGTGTTTCTCATCGTTCTACGGAGTACCGAGTTTACGGTTAAGATTTCTATCCGGTGTACAATTATTATGTTTTCGTTGACAACTAATCTTCACGGTAACAAGTAGTAGAGTCCGGATTACTGGATTTCTTGGTGACATATATTCTCCGGATTACTAAGTCTAATATGACTAATACTGTCTGGAGTACCGGGTTTCTTGATATTTTCCGGAGTACCGAGTTTCTCAATGACATGCTTTTTCCGGAGTATCAAGTCTAAGATGACAAATATTGCCCAGATTAACGGGTTTCTTGCTGATAACTATTTTTCCGGAGTACCGAGTTTCTTGGTAGTTTCCGGAGTACCGAGTTTTTCGGTGACATGCTTTTTCCGGAGTATCAAGTCTAAGATGACAAATATTGCCCAGATTAACGGGTTTCTTGCTGATAAATATTTTCCGAAGTACCGAGTTTCATGGTGACAGATATTGTCCGGGGTACCAGTTCTCTTGATGGCAAACCATGACAATTTTGTTTTCTAAAATATCGAACTTGGCTGATGATACTGACCACGCAGATTGTACCACAGTTTGTAAAACGATCAATAACAGTTATCTTTTTAAAATTGTATTGTTATGGTACATGTACAGATTCATATAGGTGATCCTACAAACGAATGGCGCCCTATACAAAATGTGACATTTCAAGGACAGAACCAATATACAATTTGAAACGTTTCGCACAGGACACAGACCAACTGCTGTGGGAAGTAAAAACTTAGTAGACATGCTGCAAACCGATGGTAAATCGGAGGGTCTCCGCGTAAGGTCTCCATTGACCACACTCGGAATGTCTCAGCCCAGATACAAACGGTTATATGAAAAACAGCAATAAGCCGAGATGATCCGAATGTATCGAACAGTGTCAAATATCACATGGGCGAGATATTCCGAACAATCTCACATGGCGTCTTGATTTTGATTGTCATGGTTTCCACACACGCTTTCGTCACATTGAAACAAATATTTCCTACATCATTTCGGACAAAAAAAATATATTTTCAGTTGTGATTCAGCCTCCAAATACACATATTGTATGTGAAAGTGCAAGAGTCGACCCTGCTGTGACGCATTTTATATTTTTGTATAAAATCGTGTGTAGTTTTGATTTTTTATTGATGAAACACTGGTGTTACCGACGAATCGCCACTGGTTCATCTTCCTCCGCCCCCGTATCATCTACATCTGCCATTTCTGCTTTCCTTTTGTGTGACGTCAGCAAGAAGACAATACCAGCAATGACGAAGAATACGAAGCATATCCATGACAACACAAATGAGTACCCGTATGTGTGGTTCGCCTTGTGTGGAATTCGTTCCGGTAGGTGAGCGTCGGCGTATTCTACACGTCTGATAAAGACTTCGTTCTCCACTAACACACAAGCAGCTGAAAAGACCAGGAACCATTAATTAGCACAACACGAGAGCATTGAAAAACACTGACAAGAAATTCAAACGATTTAAAGCCACTCAACGAATCTGATTCATTGGATTTCTAAGAATATCTTAATTAAAGCATATTTTTGTTCCATTTCAATGTTTTTGTTTTATTAATTAACTAATTAATTGTTTTCTTTATTTATCTATTTTTATCGCTCTCTATTTCATATAACTCTTGCCTATTCATATATGTATATATATATTAGTCAACATCAAGCAGCCTCTCATTCACATCATTAAAACAACCATATACAGTAGTATTGCGATCACTGTCGTCATCAGAATTTAAATCTCATTAAAAAATATGAAATGCATACTTTGTACAGAGTACAGTCTATTCTATTCTATTGTTTTGTTTTATTTACTATCAGTTTAAGATTTAAAACCTTATGTAAATATCCATCGGGCGTTGAGAATCTGTAACAATATATTCTATTTGGACCGCTTTCGCACCCAATGATAAAACATATTCTTTATTTGAGTTATCTCCCTTGGATTGTTATCATATTTTGACAATGCACAAGTTGCACGCGCAAAGCACGGATTTGCCACTTGTGTTTTTTTGCTTCAATAGTTAGTTTGTAAAGCTGACTTAGAGAATCGCCTCTTAATTTAAGCGTGACTTGATGTTAAAGACATGGACTTTGACAAGTGGTTTAACTAACACAAATTCCCATGGACTTATTAAGAAAATAGATGGATATATTTCAATTTTCAACTCACTGAACAATGAGAATTGTTCTGTAGATATTACATCATTAGCATTGGAGTAACAATCGGATTGAGATGATAAAGAAAGACCGACGAAGCCAGAAACAACCTCCTAAGCCGAGAGGAAAGGTGTGACAGACGATCAATACCTGACACGCCACTCCTGTTGAGAAGGGTTCATGTGACCTAGGGTAAGTTTCTTGATGTGACAGGTTATTTATAGAAGCGTATGCATGAATCAGATAACTTCATTGTCAAGAAAAATAGACTAACGACGAAGAATATGACGACAAAAAATCTCCAGTTAATCCAATCGTCTAATCCCCCCTTAAACGTGAACTTAAAAGTAACAAGATGTTTCCGAAACAAAATTCCGAAGTGGAACATACAACTGTATTGTGAAGGCACGTGTTAATTGCATGCATGCTTTGTGAAACACTTATGTCTTCATTATGTTCATGTCTTTTTTAAAATTTCAAATCTAGGACAAATGCCAAGGTCACATGGTCAAAACTTGTGTCGCAAGGAACACCAATGCCGAATATGAAAGCTCTACCTCTTACGGTGCAATAGTTATGGTCAAGGTTAAAGTTGACAACTATCAACAAACAGAAAGCACAAAAACAACATGCCCCCGATCTTTCCATACGGGGGCATAAAAACATTTTATTTTCACATTTGATAAAAGTTTTTGTCAGTTTTCTTTGAGTTGTCTCCCTTCGTTAAGTATCGGCACTGAGAAATGTTCGTTGCCTTGGAAATTGGCAGCTTTCGTAATATCCAGTGAGTATCATGATTTCCTTAACGACCGAGCCGTTAACTAAGATCGCGAGGTTACTGGAACTCTTTAGCTCTTGCACGTGACGGGCTACAGTACGTATGAAACGAGAGTCATTTTTAGCTCGGCCTGTTTATTTTCTTTAGCCTTATTGTAGTGAAGTCAATATATACTAGTGTATATTTCTAAATGACCAATGGTAACAAAAACCTGCACACTAGTGGAAGTTTGATGTTATTTTAATTGGGGCTAATGGGTCGTGAGACTAAAAAAAGCTTTAGCGGGGTTGGCGAAATGCCATTGTCTAGTGTGCTATGTTGTTAAACCCTGTTCCCGGTAGAGGTCAACTTTAGTTGAAGTTGTACCGTTTTGTCCTCGTTAAGTCGTTATTATGGTAAAAACTAGTGTAATTTCTGGCCAGCTCACTTTCTTTAAGAATTGCGTTGATATGATGGGTTCGTTTGTTTGGGTTATATGCCCTGTCAACATACAAGGATCATATTGAGGAGAGGCGTCATTGAATTACATGTAGTTGATGATGGTTATATCAGTGAACAAGATACAGGAGGACCGTCGCAGGCCATCAAGGAAAACTGGAGTAAAATGTTTTACTCTAAAGCACGATAACGATTGTAAAATCTTCCTGTGAAACATAAAACCGCCACACATCGAACGACTCGCCTTGTATCTCACCTTAGGCTGTGTCGCTCTACCGTGTGGCGTTAGGTGTGGTATATCTTTTTTAACGAAAAACTGGATTGCCATTAATCTAAGATTTAAAGAAGCTATGAAACTCTCGGTTAAATCAGGCGAAAGATATAAAAAAAATAGACAACTTTTATAAATCTAGTTTTGATAAAAAAAAAACAGTTGAAACGACAGAAGTGATCATTTTGTAACTTAAAAAAAATCAAAGTTCCGCCGAAATACTTATTCGCTTCATGAGTCATCTCCTAATAAATGTAATGTTTCATGACCAGATCCGCGTGGTAGTGTATACAGAGTACAGATGCGAACTTCTGTATGTGAAGTAATATTACCTGTCATTAGATGCATAAGAGCTGTCAACCGCTTCAGGATATAGCGCGGCCTCCTCAAGGTGTATATTGCAAATATATGTCCTAATACCATAACGAGAAGGGCGATAATCCCGAACGCTGATCCTGTCCTCATGTAATCTGTCGGAAGAGAAGGAAACACTTCAGTAAACTCAGCAACTTTAGATATAACATGTTCAGTATATTTAAGTAAAAAAAACTGAAAGATAAATTAAGTCATAGTTAATTTACGCAGATATTAAAAAGAATAAATAAGATAAAGCAAAGTGTGACATTATCCCCCGCGCACTGCTGTTTACCTTGAATGGTATAAGAGAACTGATTTGAAAAAAAAACTCTTAACTTTTTGCATATATGTTTCCATGGTAACAGAAAAAGTATTCAAATGGAGAACTTCTTCATAGCATAAGATACTACTAGCTTAATAACTGTTAAAAGTTTGAGCAATTATCTTAAACGATTTCCGAGCATTGGTCTAGAAAAACTTAAACTTGTGATAAAAAAAAACAAATAAACTAGGGCACTAACCTGATGTATACAGAAAATTTTGTAGAGTTGAGAGGAATGGTTTCGATATTGCAGCCCAGAAACGAAAGTTAACACTAATTTTGTGTGTTTGACATAGTTTCCATGGTAACAGAAAAAAAGATATAAAAACTAAAATTTCGTCAATAGCAAAAGGCACAACTAGTGCACTAACTTAATATATACAGAAAGTTTTTGAAATTGAGTTGAACGGTTTTAATGGAAGTCATTTCAAATTTATGAAGTTATAGCCAGGAAAAACCGCCGGACGGCGGGACGGACGGACGGAACCCCAATTAATATCGCCCCAAACGCATTTCGTGGGGGATAATTACAAACGGGGGGAGGGGGAATCTGAGGAAAAAAACAGTTATGAAAATTGCATTCATTGCTCTGAACCGAAACTCTTTTTCGGGATTGTAACCGTCCTAGTTTTCAAATAATATCCTCTGTCCACATGTAATCTTGTGTTTGTGGAATTCATATTGTGAGTCAATGGATCATTTTGGCGAAAGTAACCAAAACAATATTAAGTATCTTAATCCGGTGAACTATCCAAGACCTGTATCATTTTTGTATTATTTTTAGTAATCCTAAGTCGGGACTTAAATGAGAAACACTGTTAGGCTGGCTGTGAATAGGTTGTAGTCTGAGCATGAAATTACCGTTAAAGTTAAATTACAAAACTATCAGTTTTAGAAAACAAAATAAAATATAAATAAATAAAAATTAAAAAAAAAAAAAGAACAACAACCGTGTTTTGTTACCGATACCAGTGGGGTCATAATGATATACTCTTTAGTAAAATGCTACTTAACGTTACACAAAATCGGCCAAATTCAGAAATATGTGAAAGTATTTTGATTGATCAAATATCATTACAGGTTATTTACGACCGTAAATTTCTTACTGGGTGTTTTAATCTCCGGGAGAACGTAAGCGCCCTTCATTCACTGGATAAAGAGTTGAAATAAATAAATAAATGGATTTCGCACAGGTTGTTATAAATATTAGGCTTTCGCTTGATCAAATTTCATTGTCAGCCAATCGGAATTCTTTTACGTTTTTTTTTTCCACTTGTAACAAAAATGACGAATTGGTGGCTAAAGACATGTGAATAAACCCGATTAATTGTGGACGAAACAGGTTCATTTAATATCGAAAAAAAAACTTTATTTATTACCTTAAACGTCTTGGTGACCTTACTCGGATGGAAAGCTAATGATACACTATTGAAATAGAGCCGTTGCGTGGGTGGGCTCGTCTACAGGGAATAAATCAATTAACCACGACAAGAAAGAGTTATTTCGCCAAAGCCGTTTACCGCAGATATTAGAAATCTTAACTTACAGGAACAGAATGGTATAAATTTGATATCGTGATAGCTTGGAAATATGTCAGGCTGTCCCTCCGAAAATCTGAGTTAGTATATAATACGGACTTATGTTGTAAGCGCAAAAGGAACATGTCGGCGCCCTCGGTGTGGAAAAACAGCCACTGTTTCGGTGTCATTCAAATGAACATATGCATTGAGAGGGGAATACGAATACCACTGTCGGAAATTTAAACACTGAAATAAGCAGAACGACCGATGACAGACATTTGTGATGTCATTATCTAAATATAATGATATACAAATGAGTGCCGCTTGTGTTTTAAATCTGCACTGTCTTCCCGCCTTGTCAGTGTGTTTGTTTCATTCATTCACGTTTGAAATTGTATGTATTTCCTTCTGTAGTCAGATGCACTCGAATTCGCCGAATTGCATGAATCAAGTTCTCTTCATTAATCACTTACAGCTTACAAAAAAAACTTGGCTAAAAAAACTTGGTTGAATTAAATACTTGCATTATGAACTGCTATTTGCAGTGTCTTTGGGATACATTTTTTTCGCAATTGCAATCAATTTCTTCTACTAAAATAATTGTGACGATGTGAAATCTACACAAAGGTTTATAATCCAATATATATTTTTTTTAAAAATGACCATCTTTCAATATGTTCAAAATGCAAACATCTGTCTGAAAACATAATGAACTTTCACATTAACTAAAGATGAAATCAGGTTTTCCGGACAAGAATTTGAAAACGCTATATTGCTTTGGCCGATATTGACCGAACTTATATTTATATTGAATATGCTTTCTTTTTTCTACCCACGCAAAGAGACTGGGAGAGGAAGAGTATAGGTATAGAATCACATTGTTTGTCTGTCCATATGCACGGAACTTCATTAGTTTAAAGCTTCATACGCCGTTTCATCGAATATAATTAAAACTTGGTAATCTTGATAGTACAGGTAAGAAAATAAACAAAAATCAAATGGCATAGATGTCCAGATACGGATTGTGATATTCATGACATAATACACACACGTGACATTGATACATACATGACATATGGTTATGAACCATTTCCTAACCAATACGCGGTATTTGAGCAACAAATCCATAGATTGCTCGTGCCACAAACCGGAAGTACTAGGAACAACCGAAAATTAGTTGATTGTCCTTATATCACTTACTGGAAGTCAGTGGATTTTGTCCCTCTGTTATTGACCAGAAGGTTAAGAATAACCGGAAAACTGTTGATTGTCCCCTATGCCACTAACCGGAAGGCTATGAATAACCGGAAGTCCCTCTATTAATTATCGCAAGAAAATGAATACCCGGAAGTCTGAAGAGTAAAAATTTGTCTGTTATTTACTACCCGAAATACCTGAACTCGTAATTGCCATTTACACCGGAAGACTGTGTAACAGCCAATTTGTTACTTGCCAGAATTCTGCAGATCTGTCCCGTTCTTTACTTACCGAGAAACTGGAAGTCTGTCGATTTGTCCCGGTGAAGCTCATTGTCAGTAGGAAACAAATTGTGTTTGGCACAGGTCTCAACTGCAGGACAAAACAAAAATAAAACTTAATATCATTATAATGACGGTACATTACATTCGAAATCTTGGTATGAATAATTAAACGATCAAGTATTGGCAAAATTGTATATCAATCGAAATCTCGTCTGGCCCTATCTGAAGATCTTAATTTCCTTTCGCAGCATATTGATGATATTGCTTATCATCAATTCCCAATGAGTTGCGCGTGGGACCAATATTTCTCATCATATATGTATAGAAGATAGACAAACCAGTCACGAAACCTCCGGCAGTGTGTGGCCCTCAGCATTTCTTCATTTTCCTTATCGAAATAATAGCAATTTGGCAAAGATTGATAAACACCTGCAGGTTCGCGGGAAATAATGGGACCGTTGTGGCTAACTGCATAATGAGGCGACCGATGTGAAGTCTTAAAGAATTTTGGTTGCGCTGAATAATAAGAAACGAAGTGATGTCTCAACTGAAAAAAATTAACCTTATTTTGTGTTTTCTTTCACTTTTTTTGTTCTTCTTCTTTTTAATGATATTGCCTTGTTTAGATATGACCCGTTTTCAAAATAATAAAGTTGTTACGCTACATTTTACGGTACAATAGTGAGTTTCTTTCAGTGTAGTGGTTTTAACAAGTTCACTGCAAATCCATATCGAATTACTGTATTTAAAAAAAAAACGTGAAGGCTGCATGCACTATGACAAATCGATTTTTTTTTCATGACCATTCACATTGCTTGCTTGTTTTGCGGAATTTACTGCATTGTGAACATCAAGGGTCATTTTGATGCGGGTCTACTTAACGTAACTGATGTTTATCCCAAGAAACATCATGCTGAAGGCCCGTCCCAATTGTTTTCTTGAGGATACAACTACAACCACGACATGGGAAGGGTTCTCAGGTTCCCGAGAAACTAACCGGCGCGGCATGTCTAACGCGAATATACAATTGTCAAAATTGGGTCAAAGTTGATATCACACCAAAATAATTCCAAACGGAATTAACTGCTCCACTAGCAAAGTGACCTTAAACACATCCTCTTTGATATTTTTGTCTTGCTGCATTGAAATTAGGGACGCTTTATTGGGGTTAACGTTTGGCTTTGGCTCATATACAACAAACAATACCTGAACGTTACAAGGGATGAGGCAGGGCTCTGAGGATGACTGGCAGTGATGGTAGATCTTATGTCTGTAGAAGAAGTAAGTATAATGTACAATGTGGCGTGGTGATTGAACAGCTATAGTGCTTATAGTTACGTACGGTCGTGATAGAAACCATATGCCCGTACACTAGGTAAACAAAGCACCACAAAGCCGACACTGAAAGTCAATTATCGAAAGAGCGCATCTGGCGGGGGTTAACGTAAATACGGGGACAGCCATCTGACCATGACTGCCGTCTGGGGGGTTAGTGTAATTGCAGGGATAGCCGTCTACAATTTGGGGCTAGTGTAATTTACGGAAATAGTCGAAAGGACCGAAAACAAGTAGAGACTATGTGACAACAACGGGTAAAACTTCTAAGCGAACCAGCTACCACAAACGACAGACTACTAACATGACTATGCGACATTGGGTTACAGTTATCGGGGTAAAACTTGACAAACGCCTCCCCCGAGACAGCTTGGTTCTATAGCGAGCTATGTACGTCACAACATCACAGGGGTTGGTTACAAGGATGAGGATATCGGAGTACTATAAAATATGCATTGCGTCCAGAAACTCGAGACAAAACAGCCAAAACTAGACGATAAGCCAGTACATTGATGCTAACCTTGTACCGCCATGAAACATGGGTTGTGTTCTGTCTTAAGTATGGCTAATTTTACAGAGAGGAAATTAAAAGATAACTAAAAACAATAGAAGAAATAAACAAATTCTTTATACATTATTCATAATCATGCTTTCAAACGGTGAAAATGGAAAATGCATGAAAAGATAACGCGAATTATTCAAATTACCAGAAATTGCTAAAATAATTTGTTCTATTCTGATAACATCTTCGGGATTCATTCATGTGTTATCGTTCCCGTAATGACGTCATTTTCCAAAATGACTGTCACGAAGGGAATTAGAAATGATCTGGGTATGGCAAGCTCTTGTCACCGACACAAAAATAATAATGACAATTAAATGTCCACTGAGAGATGAAATCAAAGGGCGATAAAGAGAGAGTAGATATTATTTTTTTATAAGTGGTTGTGTGGACAATTTTAGAAAGTTCGATGTCACATACAAAGGTGATCGGATGAAGAAAATTAAGCCATTTTTAATGAACGGTTACACTATGACAACTAGTCGGTACTTATAATTCAGTTCGGTGTATTGTCAACAATATACATGTATGCAGGATTGGCTATAGCGTGTGGTGGCGAACACTTTACATTGGTATTTGACATGTATTACACGTGTAGCTCGGTAAAGACGTGATTACATAAGCTCAAGTATGTATATATAAAGATATAGGGAGCGCGTCAGTCAAATTATTGACGTGTTTGCTGACACAGCAACACAGCATATTGCAAAATTGCCATTACGCCAGACCAAACCCTTCATATCACATCCCTCTGACAGCTTTCCCTCCTTTCCAACACTCCTGGGCATGTCCATAAAAAGACCCACTGCATTTTTATTTTTGCTAGGTTATCTCCCCTTCCTATGAAACGTATGTTTATATCTTTTCCACGTAACACAAACTCCCTTACAAACTTACTGTATCCTTTCACGACATAATCAACCCCTCCCCAACTCAAATCACTCCTTTTCCAACGTGAGATATTTCTGTATCCCTTTAACCGACACACGCCCACTTCAGTCGAATTTATATACCCCTATATGTAATTCCGTATCTCAATCAAACTTTTCTGCGTTCTCTTTATTCCTGTTTAGGATACAATACATATAGCTCTTCTTCTTTCAACTAATTCAAATATTTCACATCTTTAATTGAAAATCTCATAGTCTCCCCTTCTCCCTTTCCTCCCCCACACTACCCTTCTCCTCTATCCACGACACTGCTGCTTCCCCTCCCACCAAAAATCCCAGTGCTCTTTCCCACGACATATTTCTCTCTCCAAGTTCCGTGTTAAACATCAATTGCGTGTATCAATAATTAATGAAGTAATGACTGACGCCGATCAAATTTCTTCGGAACAATAATACCGGTCTAATTCCTTAGGGTATACACCGCTCGGCAGAGCATCGCCTGTTCAGTACGAGGTGTGTAGCACATCCGTTCAGAGCTACAGATTTGCCTGTTGGTGCCATGTTGTCAGGCTCATTCACTCCCACAAAGACAAACGTTCTGAAGACCCTATATCCGATCACACCTTCTAATGTCACAGTTAAAGAGAACATATTGAGCGTTCACTGTTGAATGCAATCAATAAATAATTAAAGCAACAAATTCTGGATAAGAAACTTATAATCGTCTTGACTACATGCTAAATGCAAACGTTAATTGAAATAATCTAAAGAAACGGCTGGCTATCATTTCAATGCAGAGAAATCGAATATCAGATTGTTGATAACATTTATAGTTTTAATGAAATTACGGAAAGAAACGTATGGCTCGTTCAAACGATACAATCGATTCAATGTTGAAATGAATAAAACGTAGTGTTCTCTTACTTTAATAAAATACAATCATAGCCTTTCGGTGAGGTCAAAACATGTTTTATTAACCTAAGGAAAAATATCTATGAAAGAATTTTACTCAGCAACGGCGCTTCAAGTCAACGCCACGCCGCTGCAGTGGTAACGCCGTCTGATACGTTGTTGAAGACGCAAATGTACACAATTTTCACGCATGGGAATTTTCTTCTTAAAATATATTTGATATGCGAACTGTTTCATTGGCGCTAGTGTCATGATGATAAATTTGTATAAAATCAATATGGCACCAAAATCACCTTTTAGATAATAGCATTTGCTTTCGTCCTATGGAATAAATATTGTGAATGTCATTTGTCAGGTTGTCAGATGTTAAAACGTCTCATCTTCTTATACATTAAACTAACTTACAACCTACAACAACAACTAACAAATTCAAACTTATCCACGTCACGCGCAGAAAGAATGGAACGCCCGTTTAATTACATGGCGGATAATGCTATTTTACAAATGTTTGGCGTAATTTCAGAATATTTCTCTGTGACGTAATCTGATTTCAAATTATTTTTACATCAAATGCAGCCTTCCAGCGATTTCATTTAAGATTTTCCAGATTTTTTTCCTAGATTTTATCACAAATCTTCTGATGCGCTTAAAACGAGTGCTGCTGATTTGTCAGTTCAATGTACCAATAGCTAGTTTCGTCAGATGTTTTTGGAATACCAACTTTTCGCAATGGAAACGCACTTAAGATGAATCACCGATGTTGAAAATACATGGTACCAATCACTGTAAAATGTCTTCAAGTTACACGTATTTTTAAAAAATATATATCATCTTATATATATGGCCCCTGAATCATTTGCACTAAGATGCCACACACTTGAATGACATAAATATTCTTGATTTTATCACTCAGTATAAACAATAGGATGGATTTCAATATAATCACAAACGTATGAGATGTTTGTTTGTTTGTTTATTTGTTGTTTCCTCGCTTATCAACTATATGGACCATCATCAATGACATAATATCATAGATGTTTTTTATTTTTCCAAACGAAGATTTTAAATAGCAAGGTGTAAATGAATACTCACTATGATAAAATGTCCCCCAAAGAGATATGAATGTAAGCTGGTTCACACCTGGTAACGTGTTTTGTCGTGGCAGAACTTGACTTTACAGGCAGATAGTTCATTCGAGGCAAATCCCGAACTGCCCATGCTTAAGTGAAATACGTCACAAAATGACGCCGACGTTACGCCCGCTTCTACCTGGTCACGTGTGTCAATTGCACGTTGACCAAAGATGTTTTGGAGGCAATGTACCTATTGATCTTGGCCATTTTTGTTTTCAAGAGCGCAAGCGAATTCCCTCGTGTCTCGTGTCAGCGT